CAAGAGTACTGTGCAACAATATATTCAAGTATGTGTGAATCAGATGTGGATACTCAAAAATTCCTCAGAACTTTAGGACAATTTGAAATCACAACATTTTACCTAAATCAACAGCTTAAGAAACTTCCGACTTTTCAACTTTATACGCAACCATTCCCCACGATAAATTAAAGTCCAGGCTTTTTGATATCATTGGCAGCTGCTTTTTCAATAAAAATGGAACTCGTATATTTACTTACTTGGTCATTGGTCATTTGCGAAATTATTTTGTTAAAACACACTCTGATTGCACACACAAGTACTCTAAAGTTGACATCAAAGAGGTGCTTGAATGAGTTTCTTCTTGACAATATCTATGTGGTTTTTGGAGACCAGGTCTTCCAACAATCTATTGGAATTCCCACGGGTACCAATTGCACTCCGTTATAAGCAGACCTATTTTTGTATTCATATAAAGTAGAATTTGTGCAAAATTTTACGCGTAATAGAAGAAAACACTTGCTGTGGCCTTCAACTCGACATTTAGATATATCGACGACTTATTTTCAACTAACAATGGAAATTTCCATTCCTACGTCGATACGATATATCCTTGTGAGCTTGAGATAAACATATACCACAGAGTCTGACACATCTGGTTCATTCTTGGTTATTTTACTTGAAAAAGACGTTAATGGTAATCTAACAACCAAGGTTTATGATAAATGTGATGACTTTAACTTTTCAATCGTTTTTGCAGCAATACACCTTCATCACCTGCATACGGAGTATATATATCTCAGTTGATTCGATACTCAAGTGTGACTCTACGTATGAACAATGTCTAAAACGCTCTGCACCTATTTTTTATTGTTTAATTGAGTTTTGAGCTTGAATACTGTTCGTTATCGCCATATGTTTAAATATTTATTGAGTATGTATTGATGTAATTGATGGATTAATGTATTGAGTTTTTTATGATGTTTTTCGATATTTGGCAGGTATCACTGCTCGGGTGAACTACTTTTTGGAACTTAAGAGTAATGTTCTCTATATAAATTCAATTTATCGAAGTGATGATAATGATCATATGGCAGTTGTTGACCACAAGAGCATCGACAGTGCATTAGGAACGATGGAAGACTTTGATCAGCTCCGTAAAGTCACCAAGAAGAAACAGAGTAAATTGACCTCTCTCCATTACATAAAAAATACAATAGCAAGTAGTTTTACCTGAAAAAAGAAATTCAATTTCAATATCAATTAAAAGTGCCTTGAGTACGATACATGTACGTGTTGCTTTTGGTTCTTGTGTCATGAAAGCACTGACGCTCTTGATCATGCGTTGTGAGTATTCTATTTGTAAGTATTTTATAAAATCCGTTTTGCCCTTGTTACAGTGCGCATTATTATGGACTTCATCCCTAATCATACTGGGAAGACCAGTGAATGGTTTAAGAAGAGTCAGAGGAAAGAAGGAAAATACACCGAGTATTATGTCTGGGCTCAATGTGATACCAAATCGGATATATATCCAAACAACTGGGTAAATTTCAGTTATAATAACAATCAAAAGTATCTATACTTAGTTTCTCTGTATGTTATTTTAAATCCTCGTGTCCCTTTAAGGCTTTTGAATAATGAGAGATTTTATATATCCTTTTTTAAAAAATTGTCTTTAGATGAGTCTGAAAGGCGGTAGGGCATGGACATATGACGACATCCGAGAAGAATGTTACCTCCATCAACTAGAGAACGACAAACCGGATCTTAACCTCTGGAATACTAATGTCCGGCAAGAATTGGAGGTAAGAAGAGCATTCAAATATGAGAAAGAAGTTAATCTTTTTTGAAATTAAGGATATCCGATCCTCAGCCAGGAAGGATAACTCCAAAAATTAATATTTAATTTGAAATGATTCAAAATGAAGCTTGAAAATGAAATTTTTTTCATGCAACAATTTTCATTTTATTCATCTTTACAAGATTCAAGGTTTTTGGAAGTCTTAGAAAAGGTCTTATAAAATTTGACTTTTGTACCCTATAAAAGGGGACAAAATAATACAGTTTTAGAGAAATAAGATTTTCTTAAATCCAGCCTTAGATAACAATGCTTATTAGCATGATATGAAATAAGAAGTGATTTGTGGTGTCTTGCAATGATAGCAAAAGCCTTTTACACTGTGTATTATAGAATACATGTTGGAAAAAAGAGAAAAAATACCAAATATGTATAAAAATCATGACAATTTCTCTGAATGCCTGGATACCTATCGTTTTTTAACCTGAAATATATTTGTTGATCAATTTGCAATTAAAAAATGCATTGCTGATATTCCAATTCGCTTTTTCTGCAAAAATATTGGAGATTTGACAATTTTCCCTATATAATATGATTAAGTTTAATCTTGAACTTTAAGAAATACTGTGGATAAATTTCCATAACTTTGTGGATTCAGAGATACTTTTATGAGTATTTTTGATTGCTTAACTGCTAATTTTATAAACCTGAGGATCGGACTACCTTAATATTTGTTTTCAACAGGACATCCTGCGTTTCTGGTTGAACAAAGGAGTAGATGGCTTCCATATTTTGAATCCTGAGTATTTGTATGAAGATCAGAATTTCGGCGACGAAATACTGATGTCTGGGAAAGAAGGAAATGTATAAATTTGAAGTATATATACTAGTATACAAAATGTTTTTGAAATTCCACAGTTCAAAATAATTACTACTAGTAGTAAAATATATTTTTAAGGCTTATGATGACTTTAAGCACAACCAGACCTCACATCATTCAGAAAATCTGAAGCTGTTGAGCGTGTGGAAGTCCATACTTGATGCATACAGTACCAAGCCAGGTAGAGAAAAGGTTCTTGTAGTAACAGCTAAAGATGATGTAAACTCTACGATGAAGTACTTTGAGGCCGGAGCCACCATTGTACGTGTCACCCCCTTTTCAGACACCGGCTTCTCACTGACTGAACGAATCGAAGCTAAACTGAGTCATATGGATATTGAATCAAACAGATTTGGATGGATGGTTTGTTTGTTAGCTTTTTACGCCCCTTAGCTGACTGACGTTTTTCATGCTAATTGTTATCCATTATTTATACATTGAATTGACGACGGATTTTTCCGTTATTGCACGATCATGACAAGGAGCACACCGCAGGTGTGACCAATCAGCAGGGGATGCTCACTCCTCCATGACGCCTGATCCCACCTCTGATGTTTTGGAAGTTGGTGTTTGTTCTGCTCCTGTTTTGTATTTTTTTTTTATGAACTTTTGATCTTGAATACTGTTTGTTATCTCCATATGTTTCATTAGAGATATGTTTTACTATATTGAGTTGCCACCAATAGCCGGCCGTAAAGGGATGCACCTTTTTAGCTCACCTGAGCTGAAAGCCCAAGTGAGCTATTGCGTTCACAATTTGTCTGCAGTTTGGCTGTCTGTCTGACCGTCCATCTAGCCGTCCTTCCGTCCGTCCGTAAACTTTTCACATTTTCGACTTCTTCTCCAGAACCACTGGGCCAATTTCAACCAAACGTGTCACGAAGTATCCTTAGATGAAGGGATTCAAATTTGTTAAAATGAAAAAATTACATTGAATTAAAAAAAACAGTTTCATTCAAGGGGTAACAAAGAAATAGTGAAAATTCGATGGTTTTAAAAAATCTTCTTCTCGAGAACTACAGGACCAGGAAGGATGCTAAGAGAGATTATCTCTTATAATGTGTAGTGGGGTATTTTTCATGAAACGATTATTTTGGGGTTTTCACGATTTCTGTCTATGGTACACAAGGTGAATAAGCGTGGTAAGTATCATTTGTGAAATGGGGGTCCTGTCAACAAGTATCTTTGACCTGTAATTATTTTCATATGTAAAAGCCAATTCAATGAATTTTAGTACAGTAACAAGGATTCCAGTCGTCTAGCAAGTTTGAAACCCGAACAAGTAAAAGCTTTGATGACTCTTCAAGCTACTTTACCTGGAGTTCCTTTTGTTTACTACGGAAATGAAATAGGAATGACTGATCATCCTTCACTACCAGAGCCGTTGAAGTACAGAACCCCCATGCAGTGGAACATGAACGGAACGGGGTTTTCAAAGAATACAAAGTGGCTTGCACAGAATCCTAACTATGTGGAAATCAATGTTGAGGTAATGACAATATTGATGTAAATTTAAACTTGGCTAAAGATGATAAAAGGAATAATATTGTGAGATTCAATAGAGTAAAGAATTTTTGAATTAATCTATACCTAAAATTTTGTTATTTAAAGGAGGAAAACGCTGTCGGAAATGACTTCACCATCTTGAAGGTGTTTCGAAAACTATCATTTCTTACAGAAAACGAGTCCTTCCAGTGGGGGCACATGAATTTGTTTAGAGAAAAGGATCTTCTAATGTTCACTAGAAAGACCGAGGGATTTCCTGGGTACCTTGTGGCCATGAATCTTGGATCTAAGAGGGAAATGGAGTCCTTTCATGGGGACACTGGAATCCCTAAGAATGTTAAGGTGGTGTTCCATACCCACACGGACAATAACACTGTCATCAATCTGTCTGATAACTCTTCTGTTCTGGAAGCTAATCACGCAATTATTTTGGAATATGAATAAATTTGAATTTCAATGGCAATTTTTAAGAAACCATTTATTTCATTCATACTTTTATACTGTACATATTTTTAAAAAAATCTAGTGACATTATCTTTCTTTTCAATTCTTGTACATTGCAAAAAGAAAAGTAATAGAATTAATATTCATAAAGCTTAGATCAACTGCTGGAAATGAATATTTCGTAATAATGTTTTGTTCTGTTTTTTTAAGTATTGACGCATTTGTAAGAAAGAGGGAAATGCTATATGTTTTTAAGTCACCCGAATCACTCTTGGGTAAAGGGAAACAAAATTATGAATTTCATGCTCTCTATCTTTTCCTGAAAGAATGGGCTAAAAAACAATACAAGCAATCTGTGTTGTTTTGTGTATTTTTGTTCCTAGGAAAAATATGAGTTTAGAAAGCATCATCAAGCCCAATGCAAATCAAGGTACTGAAAGCACTCATGGGAGTTGAACATGGTGTAAAATAAAATCTTTGATCGGGAGGTTAAGTAAGTGAACAATATTATTATTTCAAATACACACAATTGTTTCAGATTTTTTGAGTTGCAAAAATCTTGTGAAAGACATTCAGAGACATTGAATAGCAAAAAAATACATGGGCCATAATGCTTGCCTGCCTACATTAGTCCTTTTTTTATACCCCCTGCTTGAAAAGCGGGAGGGTATTTATTAATCGGGCTTTCCGTCCATCTGTTTGTTACGCTTTAGGTACACCCATATCTTATCCGCAACTCCTCTTACACCACTGAACGAAATTTTCATAGAATCTTAAAGTTTATTACATATTGTCGTTGTGCTTCTTCTATTACTTTTTCATCCTACACATATTTTGGGTTTCTCATTGCAAAACATGGACACTGCCATTATATTCATATTAGAGACGGTTGATCATTTATATAATTCACTGCTCACAGTCTTCAGATTTGTAATATATTTTTCCTTTGCACCTTTACCCATGTGTTATGAAAATTTCAGTTTCGCGGAAATAATATCAATGTTAATAAAATGTGGATTTTAAGACAGCATCTTTTTAAGAGCTAACAGGTTTGTTATATAAAACTTCTCTGTGAATATAAATGTATTTCAATTACACGAACATTATACATGGAGTACGTCAGAACTTAATCTTTTTTAATATTGTGAAAAAAGCAATACCATGTTAAAAACAAATATTTATTGACCAAACATAAAAACAGTGGTATATGTGAGTTTTGTGCGTACAGATTATCTGGTATGTAAATGAGGTTTTCCTTTTATTAAAAAAAAATACTTCATTTTGTTGTTTTTAATCGCGATTTTACGAAAACATCCGTGACCGTTTTTGGTTTTTATATTTATAACAGAGTACTAGTTTTACCGCTTTTGGCAGGTGACACTGCTGATTTAGTAATAAATACGAATGTTTCCTAAAGTTTTTATGCATTAATGAATTCACTAAAAACAAGAAAATGTTCACGAAAAATTTGAATAAATTCTGTGCACCGGTAAAAAAGAAATTGCTAAAGATCCGGGACCGTCGGGCGTCTGGAAGACTAGTCTAGGATTTACCGCTGGCCGTCAGTATGCAGAGTTGTCGTTCGTATCTCTTTCAGTGTATGACGCTACACTTAAAATGAGTTCCATTACGAAAAACTTTTGAGGTTCTTTATAATTTAGTTTTACTTTGAACGAAATCTTGTATTCAAAATAAGATTTCTTTATCATTACATTTACTTACATTATGAAAATTAGATCAATTCAGGAGAAAATGACATGAACTATTTGTGGCGGATGTTTATGCATGTTTTCTGTTGAATATCATCGGAGTAAATCGGTCGAGCAGTAGCCTCGCTTTCGGCTCTATATAATCAACACAAATTACTGCGCATGTTAAATGCATGATGTCCATGGGAGATTGAACATAGTTCAACTCCCAAAAATGTTTAATCCATGAGTCCAGGATTACGAAGTAGAATCACAATCTGACTATATAATGAAAGTTCAAATAATATAAAAGCTTCTCTCACTCAATAGTTTTGCTTTTAAACTACTCGCACATGTATGGAACTATGAAAATGTCGATGTTGAGTTAAGACAATACACTGTATAAATAAATGTTTTAGATTCCGGGAATAGAATGTTGAAGAATAATTTAGTGATGATTTGTATTATACTTAGATTTTAAGATTTCTTAAATTACTGGTAACAGTCGGAACGGGCTGTTGCAGTTAAATAATTATAATGTCAATGTTAAGGTAGCAGAATGTGAATTTTAATGTTATTGATTTCGGAAATACTTGATAGAATGTTGAAAAACTATTTAATGAAGATTTGTAAATATAGTTGACTACACCACATTGAAGGTGTTTAGAAGACTACATGTATATCTTAAAGAAAACGAGTCCTTCCAGTGGGGACACATGGAAGTTTTTAGTGATAGGGATCTTCTAATGCCCACTAGAAAGGCCGAGGGATGTCAAGACACCTTGTGGTCATGATTTTGGTTCAAAGAGGGTTACAGAGTCCTTTCATGAGGGCGCAGGAATGCCGAAGGATGTCAACTTGATTTTCCATACCCACAGGGATGATAACGTTACTTAACATATCCATCAACCTGGTTAACAATTCCAGAATTTTGAAATCAAATCACACACTAGTTTGGAAAACATAAACTTTTAACAAACGATACATTTATTTGCAGTATTTGTTTTAATTTATAATTGGAACCATTTTCACTAAAAAGTTTAGATGTTCCGAAATTCATATTCATGTAATTGATTTTTTTTAAATCACTGATAAAAATGTTGATAATTCAAATTAATTTTTAATGTATTATAGAAAATTTGAATAATATCTCAAAACTACAAGTGTTTCATAATAATTTTATATGAAGATCGTAAAACAAATACAATTATGTAAAAAAAAAAAAAAAAAAAAAAAAAAAAAAATCATTTTTTGATTTAAAATGGGGCAGGTCAAGTCACCTCAGTAGTCAGGTATCGAGTCTAAACTTCAATATCGTGACTTTAAAAGGGAAACTAATAATTAATCTAAAAAGTTGGAATTGTCATACATGTATCTTTCTCATTAATACGCAGGATTATATTTTTATGTTCGTGTATGAAAATGATTGCATTAATTTAATCCTATAGTACATTAAAAAGAGAGCCTGGGGGAGTAACGCTTAAGTTTAAAGTAGAAAATTTCTGTTATCAATAAAACGTATACACGACTGCTAAAAAGGGCTACACTGTATTTAAAAACGTTTCTTTCTTCCTTTAAAATTTTGAAATAAAAAATACGAAATACGATTTTTTAAAATAAAAAGTCAATTTAAGATAATTTTAGGATGTAATTCGAATCCGATTTAATCAGAATGCCTCTGATGTACATATGTAATTATTTTTTGACTTTGAACATCTTATAAATAAAAAATTTGCACATGGTATGGATTTTGGTTAAAATAAGATCACAGGAATGAATAAATACATGTAACTGAAAGCAAATAATAGCTATATAATGCACTTATTTATTGATTTTGCTGACCACAAACAAGGGAAAAATCTCCTTCGTATTATATACTGTCCAGCGCAGTATGACCACTCATGCGCGACGTCATAAAAACGTCAATGCGCATAGCCATTTCATGCGTCAGAAAACTGCCTTTTATTGCACAGGTGTATATTTGATATAACTTGGTAAAATAATATGGAAGTTCTTCCGTATTTCGTAAGTATCTATTTTGTTTTCAAGGAATTGTTAAAATCAAATTCATTTAAATACAAGGAGATTCTTTTCTATCATAGATTTAAAATAATAATAAAAAAAAATAACATGCATATGGATTCAATGCGTTGTCTAGTTGCCGAATCCGTTGTTAGAAATGAGTATTGGTTATTGTTGGGGGGCATGATAATCAATACATCTTCTGATAAATGCATATCTTAGTTTAAACGTCTGGTTTTTTTTTTGTACTCATTATGCTAATATGCCATAAAGTTTCAACAAATACATTTACTAGTATTTATTTCTTGTTTACATGCACATTGTATAACATATAATTTTTCATGAAAAAAAAAAGAAAGTTCTCAGTTGGGAGGGGGGGGGGGTACGTGTCCTTTACAAAAATTTGAATTTTTCAATTAAAATTTTAATTTTCATATACAAATTTTAATTTAAAAATTCAAATTTTTGTAAAGGATAGTAGGACTGACTTGTAACGTACAATTATAATGCGGTACAAATTCTTCTTTTCCAGTCTGTGAGAAAAAAGTACAAGTGTTTTAGCACATAAAAGAAAATTGTGATATTCTCTGTAATTTGTTTCAGGGCAAATAACTACTGTCAAAGTAAATAAGGGAATAAATATTTGATAATTAATATAAGTTAATAATGAGTTCTTTCATGATTAGGCGTGTTTTCACGCTTTAATTTTGTATTGTTGAAGTATTTTTATGATCATCGTAACAGTATGTGCTCACAAAGATGGATTATGCATTGTATCTATTATGGCTATTTGAAAACAAATATTTGCGTTAATGTGCAGTAATTCATCATAAAAACTGTTACCTATTGACAATCTGATGGTAAACAAAAATTATTTTGTTATCAAATGTTTAAATAAATGAAAATAAAATATAATTTTATGCATATGTTTATTTATTTTGCAGGCAGTGATTTGTATCCTAACATTGGTACGTACATGTACTTACCAATTTTTTTACCTTTAAAATATAATGGAAATAGGCCTATATATGATTTATCAAATAAGACGGCAAAAAGTTCTTTTTTTCATAAATACATGTACAATACTTCCTGCAATTTACATACCATTGTGGTACACAAAATGATTTTCATTCACGTCATGAAAAAGAAAGATGTTCCTGCATAAAATCCTTTGATCATAATACTTTTAAACAAGGTTTTTTTTTTTACAAAAAAATTAAAGAAGGCATACATGTTCTATACTCTTGCCAATAATGAACATAATTTTTTATGCCAGAAAATTGAAACTTGCGAAAAAATGCAATAATTTGTTGTCTTTTCTAAACTCGACAACAGTACATAAAAATTCTTTTGCTTCTTTAGACCGAGGGTAAGACAATACCAGACAAAGATAAGACCTGTCATTCCTCCTCAGAATGCGCCAAAGATAGCTGCTGTCGTGACGAGCAGGGAACGCTGGTAGATCCATCCGGGTTATTTGATCACGTGGGTAGGTGTCGCTCTCTTTCCATCACAAATTAGTTTTACATGTCTAAAGATGACTGCTGTTTTGGTACCGACAAACGTAACTATTATGTTTTCCTTTTATCTTCAATAAAAAAATGCGTTTAAAAACAGTGGTTAATTTAACTTCCAGGTCAGTGTTTAATATGTTGTTTTTTGTTCTTCCCGAAAAACATCCTTGCAATTAAATGGTATTAGCAAAATCAAAACTTTTCAAAGTCTGCATGACAAGCAATTCGCATTTTTAACCACATGTAACTGTCTGCGGAAATATTTTTTTTAATACCCCTTATTGGTAAAAATACCCTTTATAATAACATAATCATTCATTTTTTTATGATATAAAGTCTTTAAATAATATTTTCTATAGGACCTGTGACGGAGGTACTCAATGGTACCTGTGTTCCTCTTCACGCCCAGTTTGACGAGAACTGTGGAGATGCGTGCCCATGTGATCTGACACAAGGTAAGTACTGCGTCAAAGTTGAATAAAAAATGTCTTTACCCATAATGTGCTTTTCATAATACTAGATTAAAATATGAATAACACTAACAGAACAAGGATACCGCAAAGTGTAGTGTCCCTTCGCAAAAAAGCATGTCTACATGTCTATCAATCAAAGCAGTATTCTACATCGACTCGATAAAATTTTGTCACTTCAGTTATGCAAATGAGGAGACAAACTAACCCTTTCACACACGATCCATTCTAACCCCGTGGTAAGGAGATTAATATAAATTAGAACTCTTGACAATATCATGTCATGAAAATGTTCTTCGAGTAATTGATCCGTCGGGTCCCAAACAACGATTTTCCACAAAAAGGGAGAGCGAGCAATGAAAAAAAAAACGCGGAGGCTTCAAAATTCTATTCCGTTGGAAGTTTGAGGACACCTTTTTCGATTTTCGAAATGTTTTATCCTTTTTTGTATGGGCAATACTTGTTTCAGAACTTTAATTTTAATGCAACATGATACTACAATTCAATGAACAAGTTTGGTTATACCCAATTTTAATAATATAGTAGCATACCAACTCTTGAAGAGGGAATTATCAGGTACATCCTCCTTACCGATGCACAATTTTTTTAAAATATTGACCCACATTATTTTAAAAAATAAAAAATGAAAAAAATATGTTAAAAACCTCATTCAAGGTTTTGATACAAAAGTTAAAATTAAGAATATTTTTGAGGTGCTTGAAATGTCGTTTACTTCTAAATGATTTTGCCCCTCTCTATGTTTTAGGTCTGGTGTGTGACAGAGTCGTCTCCGACAACAAGTTTACCCCTTCCATCTGCAGACCGAAGGATGTGGTCAGTAAATGGACCAATGATTTCCTGGACTGTTGGAACGATGCCAACTGTGTGCTCCCTTTGTAACTTATAAAATATGCAATATTGAAAAGTACCTCTAATGAAACTACGAATGTTAAGCTGATGATATAAATGATAAACAAACTTTATATCTGTTAGTATTCTAGTAATATTTATTTTATGTAAAATACAGAATTTATTGAGAAAAAAAAGTTGTTTCATCTTTGTTGTAGTAGTGCTAAGAAGGTTTCCATAAAAAAAGCGACAGGATTTTTTTTTAATAATTCTCATGACAACCATTGAATCATTGTGTAAGTTGAATGAAATACATGTATATGGAGATAACGAACAGTTTTCAAGTTCAAAAGTCCACAATAAAATACAAAATAGGAGCTGAACAAACATGGACCTACAAAACATCAGAGGTAGGATCAGGTGCCATGGAGGAGTGAGCATCCTCTGCCGACCGGTCACACCCACCCTGTGCTTCTTGTCATGACCGGGAAACAGTATGACAAAAAGAATGAAAAACGTCAGGCAACATTCGACTCAGTGATAAATTGTATTTGATGACAAGGTCATTGTATCGACATGCAATAGAACTCACGAAATGATGATTTTAAACGAGACTGCTGATATTCATGTTTCATTACCTTTTCATAAAAAAATAACATTGTTTTAAAAATTTTACATACAAAAAACATGCTCTTGTTTATCGAATAAACTGAGATATACAAAATCCATATGCAGGTGATGAAGGTTTTTGGCTGCATAAGTAAGGGAAGCTGACGGTTGTAAAGTCAAAGTCATCATGTTTTTCATAGAGCTTGGGTGTTAAATTACCATTAACGTCTTTTTCAAGTAAAATATCCAAATATGAAACAGATGTCTCAGACTCTGTGGTATCTTTTATCGCAAGCTCACTAGGAAATATTGTATCGATATAAGACTTGAAAAACCCGTAAAAGATTGTTAATTGACAATACGTCGTCGTCGATATGTCTTAATGAATATTTAGATTAATCAGTTAAAAATTCTTGCGGAAAATTTTCTTTGTCTCCCCCTTTAAAAATTTATATACAACGCGTCAGATATATTTCATTTATGTTTTGTGGAAAGAAAAACTAATTAACACTGTTACCATGCTCCGAGTCCATATAATTAAGATATAATTGAGATGAGCTCACTTTTGATATCAGTCTCACTTTTACAAATTAAAGAAATATATGGTGGAGAAGTGAGATTTAGATAAAAAGTGAGCTAATCTAAGTTTAATAGTCCAAGAGCCAAGTCAAGGGTCAAATGACAACTAAAATTAGTTGTGTTTATTGAGCAGGCGAAATGTATCTAATTAAAAAGTATGTATACGATATTTTTGGGTTTGAAAAGATTATGAAAAATGTCCTTATAACTCTTCATTTGGGCACTGATAATGGAATTGTCACTCATTACCAAAATATTTACAACTGTGATGGAATTATTTGTTTAGACATGTTGTGCTTCATTATTCTGAAGAAATGGTGTCTATCAAAATTAAATTCTCAAAAAAAATCTGAAAAGAACTTCTGGAAAAATAAATCTTTTTTATACCCAGGTGTTTTTGGAATGTTCATCTACAAAATGAATCTAAAAAACATTCCAGTTCCGCGTGCAAAAGCTCTGAAGTTTATATCAAGAAGATGCGTGAGATTTCTACATATTTTCTTATTATAAGAAGATCGACCAGATCTTGCAACCATAGTTAGGAATTTTCAAGGGGAACTAATTGTTGCCTTGTATTAGACGACAATATAGATTCATATGAAGCAGCATTTGTAAATTAAGTAAAACAAAAGAAGAAAATATTGTCTTTAAACAGCGTTAAGATTCCGGTATGTCGGTGAATATTGCTACAGTATAAAACACTTTTATTCAACATCGTTTCGATGTATCCCTGGTCAGTGTACTCGACATAAAAGACTGCAGAATTTTTCACTTATGTTATATTTACTACATGTAGCAGTTGTTTTACTGACTTAAGCTTTGGGCGATAATAGCAAACTAATAACGATATTGCACGCGAATAATTCCTTTTGAATATATCTGTATCAAAGACCTCTAGATCAATTAGAGTTTTTGAGAAATATTCTGCATTTAGCATCAAGGTTTTTGAATACATTCCGATATTGTTTTATACGAAGAATATTACTAATGCAAAAATGATTGAATTAAAGCTTTTTTTTCAAAACAATAAAATTAGACTCTTTCAATTCAAAATTTTGCTCGGGAAATTTATACACTTGTAATATATACATTTAAAACAACACAAAAGTATGGTAAAAATTTCAGTATACAATTTTACTATGGGTTTATAAGATTTCTATAACCAGTTAGATTTTGGTCATAAGTTGTAAAAATAATTCCTGGACTATATCCGTTGTTGAATGTAAACGGGGAAGAAGGATTGTTGGCAGGTATAACAAAGTAGTGGCGCTGTGGGGCCGTAATAAAACGTAAAGGGTAAAGGTGCCGTATTCCTTATGGTCTTCCAATATAAAGTCCAAGAATTGGTAAAATCAGGTTTTCGATTTTATTATAGACGATGGTGAATAACAAACATGAATTTTAACAATATCTTACGAGACTTAATCGAGTTGGATGTGGCCGGTAAAACGTCGGACCTCCAAACTGAAGAGATTATAATGGAAATAGATATTTGTAAGATTAAGATTAAACAATAATTGACTTTTGACACTAGTTGAGTTAATTGATGGACAGGTGTGGTTATAAAGAAATTGTACAAATAAAGTTATTGGTAAAGGATTAACAAATCCCGAGGCATTAACACCTAACGAGCAACAATTATTTTGACAGAGTCACAGAGTGTCAAATGAATTGTCTCAATCCTATTTCAAAGGGAATGAGATAAATAAGACACAATTAACTACAAAAAAAAAAACACATATTAAAAACAGATAAAGAATTTCACAAATAAACGTCCGAATTTGGTATAAAATATTAAAAAGTTATATTAATTCAAAAATGTTAATTTTGCTCGGTGATATTTCCATCAAAGTGCATTTCAAACAGATAAAATATTTATTTATTGGACCGTAAAGATTTTGGCCAATATGAAGTCATTTAAACAATAAAATGTTTTCTTTGTTTGTTATTACTGGAATTAACGGAAGCAGCTGTTGCAGAAAAAATACATAACCCGCGTTTTCTTTAATTGCATTGTTATAATAGAATTTTCTTTTTATCTCAGGTCCTCTGATTACTAGACTTGTTTTTACGATTACTTTTAAATTTCATTGACTGTTCACGGTGGCTCAGTCAGTAGAGAGCTTGCTTCGTGATCGGCAGATCGTGAGTTTGAATCTCGGCTGCGACTGACCTAAGTCGATAAAATGGATAGCTACTGTCCCTTCGCCAGCCATGCGCTCGGCACTTTGAGGTGAAACTTGCGGGTCTTCTAGATTATACTGTACCCTTAAAAACCGTGTCCCCGTGTCAAGTCAGGCCTTGGCACGATTAAGATCACTCACTGCTCAATGGCTCTGAGTGCCAATAAAGGGTCAAAATTAAAATATCCCGTCACCGGTATTTGATGGCGTCTCTGGAAAGGATTTAAAACAACATACAGTCAATCAATCATTTATTTAATCAAATTTCATCGTGAAGAATACATCTGAAATTCGTTAAGTGCCTTTTGCTATTCATCTGAAGAGTAAGCTTCAAAAAATTGTGATTTTTGCATTAACAATTCAGCAGTTAAGAACATACACTTACAGTAAGTCATTCTCAATGGTATACTTGTAAAACTTTAAAAAACAACTACATTGTTCAATTAAAATTAGCAAGATATTCTCGTGGAGTCAAATTTTCGTGGTTTGAATTAAAACTTGGTTCGTGGGGATTTGAATTCGTGGATGAAGAATTGTTAAGTAGTATGTACTTAACATTTTACATTTCGTGGTGGACATGAGCTCGGGGGTTTCTTCATACCTCGAAAACAACGAAAATAAACCCCCACAAAAATGTGTGATTTCACAGTATTGAAATTGAGAAATGAATAATGAACATTAAAGAGAATTGTATTTACATTAACCTTCGATTGTGTGTTATTCCTATGCATTATTCTTATAGCTGTCAAGAGTATAAAATATATAGAGAGCATGAGACAAGGGACAACAGAGAAATACATACTGATAGAGTAAACAGAAATTTTATTGTCTTATAGAACTGAAAAAATACGCCACGTCATACACTATTAGATAAAAATATTACCTCATGTCCTAAACAACAATGTTTGGAGCTGCATTCTTGTGCTTATTTCTAATGTTTACATTGCAAGCAAATAGTGAAAAAAAGGATTTTACTCAATGATCCGGACCTGATACACACTCAGGTTCAAGCCTTGGAGAGAAAAGTTCAGGACATGATGACGAAATATACTGAGCTGACAACGAAGTACAACACTTTGCTGACCAAAACGAATGGTTTGAATTTACAATATAAAAATTAATATGTGCAGTATGTTAATATTTCATGAAATTTAATGAAAGTGAAGATAAGTTGATAAATCTCATCAATCACAAATATATATATCACAAAAAGCAAAACACAGGGGCATTTGGAAATACAACAGGTGCCAAGAAGGAGCAACCATCCCCTGCACGAAATGGAGTATTCTGTAGTCAAATAAATATAAATCGAACGCTTAAAAGTTGGCATGTAATATTTCAGTCAAAATACGGCTACATAATTGGCAGTTGTTGCAAACAAGTATTTGATAACAATAAAATAATTTGCGAAATAACCGCCTTAAACGAGATGATGAAAAATTCTTCCACATTAGCTTATCATTTGTAGTAGCTTACATGTACCATGATTATAAAATTTTAGCGTTTTCGAGACTTGCTCTTGCGGATCGAATCAATTTGGCGAGGTTAACATGCAATTTTATCACTATGATGTTTTTCTTTTTTCTGTGTTGCAGCTGGCGGAACATTTGTTCGATGGGGAAGGAAAGATTGTCCAGGAAATAACACTGAACTTGTTTACTCAGGTAAAAAAAATAATGACCATATATTGAGTCTTTTTATAAGTTTGATTTTAATGTTTCCTTTAGGATAT